TCGTAGGGCTGTGCCCCAGTCCTTCCACGTGCGAATCGTGGATTCTGGACTACATCGAGTCTACATGTGTCAAGGCCAACACTATTACACGCCACGTCAAAAGGGGTGACATCACTATTATTACGCCGTTCACCTACACGATTTGGCAGCTGCCACCAAAGGAAGCGACATCAGCAAGTTGTGTGCAGCTGAACCGCCCGAGCCAGCGCATTCGATTCAGCAATACCCCGAGATTGCCCCGGACGACCTGCCATTTAAATTACCACCATAACGACCTGAAGATTACAAAATTACCCTCAAGCCCAGCGCGCAACTGACTGTTAGCACATAGTGGCGGCTGACTCAGCCTAAACTTGCGGAGCTTCGAAGTCAAATTGAATCACTGTTGGAGAAGGTCTCCATCCTACCCAGTACTTCATATTTTTCCGCGCCAATCATGTTCACTCCGAGAAAAAATGGCAGCATTCGCATGTGCATCGACTCATGCGCGCTCAACCGGGTTGCAATCATGTCTTGCTATCCCATCCCACGCAATGATGACCTCCTTAGCCCACTTCGCGACGCTCACTATTTCTCAAAGTTTGACCTACGCTTCGATTACTAAGAGATTCGGGTCTTCGCTGACGACTGTCACAAAACTGCATCTCGAACCTGCTACGGCAGTTACAAGTTATCAGTGATGTCTTTTGGCCTCACGAACGCTTCTACATTCAACTCACCATAAACAAAGTGTTTTGTGAACTTATCGACAAGCGTGTCATCGTCTACTAGGATGTTATTCTAATATTCAGCAGGACACATGAACAAGACCTTCGTGACCTCGGTGAAGTACTCAAATGCATCCAAGCCAACTACCTCATCACGAAAGGATCTAAGTGCAAGTTTTTTTACCATGACTTGGAGTTTCGGGGCACGTTATTTCACGTGATGGCATCAAGGTCGACCCAAATTTAACTAATGTCACGGAACTTCCGAGTTTTAAAGGGCTTGTGATTTATGTCAGCGATATATCCCGATATGGCAGAGATAACCGGTTCGCTGACTGACCCGCTGCACAAAGATAAAAATTATGTGTTGGGGTAGAAGGCCGAGGCGACCTTTCAGGATTTAGAGAATTCTCTGGTGTCCCCTCCGGTTCTGCGCATCGCCGACCCATCCAAGCTGTTCAAAGACAACACACACACTGTTAATATTTTGCCATCGGTGCTGTGCTGCTCCAAGATTTCGCCAACAGTTTACAACTGATCGCCTACGGGGCACGCAAACTGCAAGCGGCCGAACGCAACTACCCGATCCACGACAAAGAGATGCTGGTCATCATCCACACATATAAGCTTTGGCGCGGCTACCTGACAGGCATCGACCTTGCTGTTCGCGCTGACCACAAATCACTACAGTACCTCAGCGCGCAACTGAACCTCAACCCAAGAAAAATCCGGTGGCTCGACAACCTCATCCCCACCCTCAAAACTCAGCAGGACCAGTGGACACCCGAGTGGCTACGGCAGGAGATCCTGCAGGAGGACTTCCGCAGGCGTCATGTGGGAGGTGGTGCTGCTAACAAGGCTGCTAAGGGGTATGGAGCTGCAGGAGGCAGCAGTGGAAGAGGGCGTGGGAGAGGCCGAGGCCGTGGGAGCGGCTAAAACAGAGGAAGAGGTCGAGGTGACTACAACAAGGGGCACGGGAGCTCAGGGGGAGCACCCGAATGGAGGGAGCTTGTGGGTACTGCACTTAACATCCCTGGTTCAAGTGTTTCAGCCCGCCTGAGGGATGGGTGCCCTCAGGCATGAAACCGCAAAGTGGTGAACGTGCACAAGGTGGCGCTGTGCAAGGTTCAGGTGCACAAGGTGAATGTGCACATGGTAAAGCCTCTCTTGGGATGTTCCTCATGGTTCTGCATATGAATGGGAGTGTGGGCGATCTGGGTTCGGTTGAGAAGGTTGTGATGCACCCCCTGACTCACTGGGTTATTGATTCAAGTTGCACAAGTCATATGACCCGACGGGCAGATTGGCTTGATGAGGTAAAACCCCCTGGGAAGTTCAAGTTTGTGGCTGCCTCTTCATGTGCTATGCTCTTTTGTGATTGGTGTTGGGAATGCCAAGGTGATGGGAGCCAATGGGGAGCTTGTGGGGCTTGGGAATGTGCTGCTGGTTGAGGGGTTATCTGCTAACCTACGTTTTGTGTGCAGGCTGCAGAAGAGCAGGGCTGAAGTTACCGTCGGCCCAACCAGCTGCCATGTGAAGCTTAGGAAGCTATTGTTACGGAACCTGGAGGAGAAGAGCAGCTGCATCAAGGACCTGTGGCAGCTGCCCGTCATCCCTTGGAATGGAAAACCTCCAGCAACGGCATCGGCAGCATCAGCGGCTAAAGAAACTGCGGGAGGAGAGGAGACTGCACCAACTGTTGCAGTCAAGAGAGAGCAGCAGCTACAGCAGCCACATGGTGAGGAGCTTGCTGGTGTGGATGGGACAGCTGCATGGGCAAGAGCTTCATCTGGGAGTGGTGAGGTGGATTGGGAGACACGACATGAGAGGCTATACCATGTGAACTTTCCTATGCTACAGAAGTTGGTGAAGGATGGGAGCTTAAAGGGGTTGGAGGTGAAGGGGGCAGCCAAGGAGATTGGGAGCTGCCCTACATACCTTGAGACAAAGTTCACCAAGTTTCCCTTCAGCAGCAGCACAGGACCAGCCAAGGCCCCACTTGCGCTTGTGCACATAGATGTGGTGGGCCCTACCAGTGCCCCTTCTCTCTCGGGCAGCCACTACCTCTTGACAATTGTGGACGACCACATGCGCGCAGTGTGAGTGTACCCTCTCAAGACCAAGGGGGATGTGGCAGCGGCTGTTCTTAAGGAGTGGATGCCGAGAGCACAAAGGGAGAGGGGACAATAGGTAAAGGTAATCCACATTGACAATGGAGGCGCGTTCATTGGCACTGATTTTGAGGGGGAGCTGAAGCGGAAGGGGATCCAGCATCAGCTCACAGTACCTTACAACCCTCAGCAGAACGGCATGGCTGAGCGGTTTAACCGGACCCTGCAGGAAGGTGCACGAACTCTCCTTGGGCGTGTAGGGCTGTCGGATCCGTTTTGGGTGATTGCGCTACGGCAGGTCGCTCTTGTGAAGAACAGGGTGCTGGCGACTGTGGAGGACAAACAGTGGGTCACTTACACTAAGTGGTATGGGAGTGCGCAAGCTGTGAACATGCTGAAAGCCTATGGCTGGATGGCTTCCTCCCAGGTGAGAATGTCGGGACGACCGACCAGCAGGGGGGTGACCGCGATCCTGTCCGGCGTAAACTTGAAGTAGACGTAGCTCGGTGAGAATCCTCCCTCGGTCACATGGGTGACCAACATCGGCGCCAAACCCGTTTGACGTCCTTCGACGTCGCCCTGCGATGAGCCTGCAGTCGCCGACTTCACCGGCGTGCATCACTCCTCGCTGCCTCGATGACGTGCCTCCTGCACTGCTGCCGACCTGGTCCCCACCGGCTTTGACGCCCACGTCGACGCCTCCCTCTGTGTTCACCAGTCGAGGAGAGGCAGGCCGAGAAGGGTGCTCCGTCGCCCACACGGCGCGGATGCCAGCCTCGACGACCGCCCAGGGAAGGTCGCCGTACTCATTTGCCTCGTGCCGTCTCCTCGCGTTCTACAACCGTGCCTCCAGGGTGTCTGCAACACCAGTGTCACCTACGTCAACCATGGTGGTGACTATCGCACAGCTTCCGACCTAAGAACATAATGGTAAGTGCAAAGGTCGGCTAGAATGAAACTACGTCGCGGTGCCGTCCACGCTCACTGCACCATGCGGAGAAAACTTATTCAACGGGAGCTAGGCTACGGGCTAGGCACGAGGCTAGAGTGATCTCTGCGTTCCTTAGTCGTTTCCTGGTGTTCTCACTGCTTGCTAGTTCACGAGGGAAAATGGCAAGAGTTTCGCTAGGAAAAGAGTTCATAACAAAGGTTCATAATGATAGCAGCAACATTGGCATCAGAGACTACACCAGAACGAGCATGCTAGTCGGTCGACTGCAAGCGCAGCAGGGTCGACCGCGTGCCAGCACGACATGGTCTTCCGCGCTCCAGCAGAGCAAAGTCGCGGCTTGCCAACGTTGCAAGTACACGGTGTGCCAACGCTGCAGCAAGTCGGCTGCACAGCGTTGCACCCGCAGGACAACGGTGCACCTGCTTTGCAGGTGCGTGCAGTTGGTTGGTGCACCACTCCTCGTCACATGCACAGTGCAGACGCCCAGCTCGACTCCACGCCAGCGACTGCGCCCACCAGCCACGTCGACGTCGGGATACCACTTCCGAGGTCGGCCTCGCAGAAACCACCCCGGCGACCTTCGCACACGTCGCCTGGGTATCCCGGTCGAGCGGGCAACCACGCCTGGTCGACCAGCTCCGTCGGTCGCCGGCTGCACAAGCCCGGCGTCCCCAAGTTCGGCACCATACTGCTCGACGCCCAGCTGCTCGACGTCGTGCTACTCGACACCCTCCAGGTCGGCGTCCCCGGACTCCCCTGTCGAGGTCGACGTCGGTGCCCCACCTTTGTCGACCACCTAGAACACATCGCCCAGAAGTCGGTGCTTCTCCGTTCCTTCCATCACCTCCAGCAGGTCATAGTGATCAAATATGTTCTCCATTTTGAAGGACCACTCAGCGAAGTTGGCGTAGTCGAAGCTGATCCAAGGCGCAATGATACCACTAGTTATCGTCACAATAGGCTCAAATGTGCCTAAAACGAAAGATATAATGTACAGTCGGGTTTCTGCATAGCAGTTTAAACGGTAGGGACAGCAGTTTAAACGATTTCTGCATAGCAGTTTAAACGCTCGAGTTTCTTGATTGTTTAGATGTCAGGATGGACAGGTAGGGACAAACACTTTCCTATGGTCTTGTTTGAGCCCCTATTGCGTACGCGTTCAGCAACCTATTAAAACTTTATACAATGAGGTGGAAGGAGCGCATTAGTGCAGGCACATAATGTCCATGGATGAGCATCCTTCCTATATCCTCCAGCAACCCGCCTCGTCCCCCCTTGCTCCCCGCATCAATTCCCTTCTTCCTCCCACCCCCCTTCTCTCCGCCTCATTCCCCCCTTTCTCCTCGCCTCAATCCCTCCTGCTTCTCGCCTCGTCCCCCCTTGCTCCCCTCCGCATCCCCCTTGCTACCCGCCTCATTTCCCCCTTCTCTCCGCCTCATTCCCCCCTTTCTCCCCGCCTTATTCCCTCCTTCTTCCTGCCTCGTCCCCCCTTGCTCCCCACCTCATAAGTCCCTTGTTCCCCGCCTCATTCCCCCTTGCTACCCGCCTCATTCCTCCTTGCTACCCGCCTCATTTCCCCTTGCTACCCGCCTCATTCCCCCGTTCTCTCCGCCTCATTCCCCCCTTTCTCCTCGCCTCAGTCCCTCTGGATTCCCGCATTGTCCCCCCTTGCTCCCCTCCTCATTCCCCCTTGCTCCCCGCCTCATTCGCTACCCGCCACATTCGCCCTTGCCCCCGCCTCATTCCCCCTTGCTACCCGAATCATTCCCCCCTTCTCTCCGCCTCATTCTCCATTTCTCCCCGCCTCATTCCCTCCTGCTTCCCGCCTCGTCCCCCTTTGCTCCCCTCCTCATGAGCCCCTTGCTCCCCGCCTCATTCCCCCTCGCTACTCGCCTCATTCCCCCTTGCTCCCTGCCTCATTCCCCCTTGCTACCCGCCTCATTCCTCCCTTCTCTCCGCCTCGTTCCCCCCTTTTTTCACTGCTTCATTCCCTCCTGCTTCCCACCTCGTTCCCCCTTGCTCCCCTCCTCATGAGCCCCTTGCTCCCCGCCTCATTCCCCCTTGCTACTCGCCTCATTCCCCCTTGCTCCCTGTCTCATTCCCCCTTGCTACCCGCCTTATTCCCCCCTTCTCTCCGCCTCGTTCCCCCCTTTGCTCACTGCCTCATTCCCTCCTGCTTCCCACCTCGTCCCCCCTTGCTCCCCTCCTCATGAGCCCCTTGCCCCCCGCCTCATTCCCCCTTGCTACTCGCCTCATTCCCCCTTGCTCCCTGTCTCATTCCCCCTTGCTACCCGCCTCATTCCCCCCTTCTCTCCGCCTCATTACCCCCTTCTCTCCGCCTCGTTCCCCCCTTTGCTCACTTCCTCATTCCCTCCTGCTTCCCGTCTCGTCCCCCCTTTCTTCCCTCCTCATGAGCCCCTTGCTCCCCGCCTCATTCCCCCTTGCTACCCGCCTCATTCCTTCTTGCTATCCGCCTCATTCCCCCTTGCTACCCGCCTCATTCCCCCTTGCTACCCGCCTCATTTCTCCCTTCTGTCTGCCTCATTCCCCCATTTGCTTACCGCCTCATTCCCCCCTTCTCTCCGCCTCATTCCCCCCTTTGCTCACCGCCTCATTCCGCCAGTCTCTCCGCCTCATTCCCCCCTTCTCCCCGTGTCATCCCCCTTGCTACACGCTTCAATCCCCCTTGCTCACCGCCTCATTCCCCCTTTTCTCCCCTCCCCCTTCCCCACCTTCAACCTCCTTCAACGTTTTGCCCGAAAATAATCAGACCACTTCCTTAGATTGTGGCGGTACTGACGGCGCCACTTGAACGGTGTACCCACAATCTCACACGCATTTAGGTTTAGGAAACCATCCTCGACCAACGTATGCATCACACGCATCGTGAACACACCACATTTGTTCTCATTGGCCTGCTGTGGAATCTCAAAAAAACACAGGGTCATAAATGGCGCTGTAAGGGCTGGGCGCGGATTGTGGCGATCTCAGTACCTTCGCGTCGCTTAACAGTTAATGCGTTTCTTTGGAAGCATTTACAAACATTGCTAACACGCTCACCTTGACCTGTCGTAACGGGATGCTCTCAGCTCAAGCATCAGCGTCCGACTCAATGATCCAGGCGCAGCTTCTTATCACCTCGTTTCGTAAGAACCTGCATGTCGGGCGACATTGAAGCAATCTTAAGGACCTCGTTAGTTTTGTACCAAGCAACAGACTGCCGACAGTGAGAGTACCTTCACAGAGGGGCGTCGACACCGTCATGGATACCGTACGAGCCAGCATGCCAGAGCATGCAGGTCATGGGTATTGTGTCGTCGGGTTTCGAGATTATCTCTATCACGATCAAGCTCCAGTGACTCCTACGACATACAATTGGGCTAGAACTTGTTAGTACAATGTTATATAATCTGGATTTACATGTTGCAACGGCTTGTGGCGACATCAACTCACTCGGTATTAATCGGAACAAGAACATACGCGAAGCTGAATATACCCAATCCGAACGTATAAGTGTTTTCGCGCTTCAAGGTATCCTTCCCAGCGTGGTTCCAGAAATAAGATCCACTATAAGCCACTTAATGCCGTTGCGACCGTGTTCATACAGAAGCATTCTATGGGTGGCGCATAGAAACGCCGAATGAGTCGTATGAGTGAACCGAATCTAATCAGCCGCGTGCTTCCATGTTGCTTGATACTCACACGCCTAGCCAGTCAATAACAATTCTCCAGGGTGAAGCCTGTTAGCGTGTTCTACGCTGATGTCGAGCCTGAGAAGAAACGAGGAATGGAATGACTAAGGGAAAGTTGGGTACAAAAATGCAAACCCTAGAAAACTGTACCCCATATGTGCTACCCCACTATAGCCTACAGTAGCTATGTCATATAAATCTGACACACCCCCATAGGCAAAGTGGGGGAGAACAAGGGGTCACAAGACCAGTCAAGCAAAGCAAAGCAAGCTCAGGGTGGATCACAAAGTCACCACACATTCCGAGCACAAGTTCAAGGCCACAAGGCCAGTTCACATGCAGGACTACATATATATATAAGGCTAGACAAGCAAGAGCAGGTGTATATATATATGCAACAGTACAAACAAGGTCAAGGGGTGAGCAAGTGAGGCAAGGTAGGCACAAGACCCAGCTGAGTACAGAAGCGCTGATGATCACAAGGCGCAAGTGCCTTGGTGAAGATATCAGCAGTGTTGGCCTCAGAGGCCACGTACGCAAGCCGCAGCTGACCACGCTGCTGTAGCTCACGAGCAAGGAAGTAGCGGAGAGCAATGTGCTTCGTTCTGTGCTCCAGTCTCTGCTCTCGACACAAGGCCAGCATGGCCTTGTTGTCTACGTACAGCACTGGAGGAGAACGAGGCGGCTCTCCGAGGTCAGTCAGCAGGTAGGTGAGCCAGCGAAGCTCCTGTGCAGCCATGGCCCCGGCGTAGATCTCAGCCTCACAACTGGAGCCGAGAACAGAAGACGAGCGGGTAGCCCGCCACGAAACAGAGCCGGAACCAAGGCTGTAGGTGTAACCCTTTGACGACCGCTGCGTAGCCTGGTCGTCAGCCCAAGAAGCGTTTGCGTGCCCAGTGAGGACCACTGGACTCTGCCCTCCAAGCACAAGCCCCATGCCCGACGTACTGCACAAGTAACGCAACACCCTCTTCGCTGCAGCCATGTGCTCCGGTCTGTGTCTCCCAGGAGCAACATAGCGTGCGAGAATGCTAAGAGGGTATGCGAGGTCAGGTCGTGTGCAGGTCATCAGGTACATGAGGCAGCCAACAAGCTCTGGGTACGGGCCACTCGACTCTACGGACTCATCCGAAGGCAGAGCTGAGAGCGAGTGGCGAGTAGGCAGAGGAGTGGCCTGAGGCGAGGAGTACGTGAAGCCGAAGCGCTGAAGGACCTGCTGCACCATGTGTGACTGAGTCAGGGTAATGGTGCGGCGTGCTCTGTCCCGGGTGATCTGCAAGCCAAGGTAGCTGCGCAGTTCACCCAGGTCTGTGCACGTGTGTCTCTTCTGCAGCTCGGACTTCACGTGGGCGAGTCCAGCAGTGTCAGCTGTGGCAAAGACCAAGTCGTCGACGTACACGAGGATGTAGAACGGCGGCAAAGAAGTGTCGGTGCGCAGAAACAGCGACGGGTCGGCAGTAGAGGGAGCAAACCCAAGAGCCGCAAGTGTAGTCCTCAGTGTGTCGTGCCACTCACGCGGTGCCTGGCGGAGACCGTAGACTGGCCGCCGGAGGCTCCACTGGGTGCCAGGAGGAAAAGACCCAGTGAAGCCAGGTGGGCGACGCAGCCAGATCTCCTCGTGCAGGCTGCCCTGCAAGAAAGCAGTGCTGAAGTCAAGAGAGTGCAGCTCGTAGTCGCGGTGAGCAGCTATGTGCAGCAGTACCCGAAGAGTGGTCATCTTCGGGGTGGGAGAGAAAGGTCTGAAAGTAGTCAACTCCCTGCCACTGACTGAAGCCACGAGCCACGTAACGCGCCTTGAAGACAGGCGGAGAACCCGGCGGTCGCTTCACCCTGAAAATCCACATGCCACTGACGATGTTCGCCCCAGGCGGGGGAACCTCGTCAACGTAGGTGCCTGTGGACTTCCAGGAAGCCATCTCTGTGTCCATAGCTGCCTGCCACTGAGAGGAGTAGGGACCCTCTATCGTCTCCACGTAAGAGCGCGGAGTCGGGATGTCAAGTGCATCCGGGTCTCCCTCAGGGGTAAGCAGTACGGACACGAGATGAGGTGAAGCAGCAGCCAAACACTAGAACTCCTCCTGCCTGTCCTCAAGGACGTCCGTGCCAAGGGCACACTCACCCCCGACGGACGGAGGACAGACAGACTCAGACTCAGCGACAAGACAAGCAGCGTAGTCTAGACGACAGCGAGCAGCAAAGTCGACGAGCTCAGCAACTAGGGCAGACGCAGCAGTGGACGCAAAGGAAGGGTCAGTGACGACAGTAGCAAGGAGACGCGTGACAGTAGGACTGGCAGCACGAAGAGAGTCCGACTCCGGGTCGGGAAGAGCAGGAAGAGAGGACTCATGAGGAGAAGGCAAAGGGGCACGCAGAGGAGCAGTGGACGGACGCAGAGACATCCGGTGCGTGCCAGGGACAGGAGGAGGACGCTGACGCGAACCACGACCACTAGCGCGAGCAGTACGGACAGGCGACGCAGGACGCGACGCAGGCTCACGACGCTCAGCAAGACCTCCAGTAGGACCAGTGTAGGGAGAAGGAGCGGGCAGTGGGGAGGCCGGCTGTAACTGTAACTGTGACAGGACAGGCTGTCGACACTCTAAGGGAGGAGGAGGACCAGGAGAAGGCGGGAGACCAAGAACCTGCTGAAGGAGCGGAACGAAGTACGGCCGAGGCCGCGCGGCGACTCCAGACACAGCAGGGACAGCACTAGTACCCCCAGCGGCAGCACCAGCGCCAGCAGCACCTCCAGCTCCAGTACCTCCAGCAGCACCAGTAGCACCCCCAGCAGAACCGCCTCCAGGACCGACAGCAGTAGCCTCAGCGTCAACACCCTCCGCAGCTCCAGCTCCAGTCGTACCCGTAGGCCCAGCAGCTCCAGTACTCCCAGTACGAGCACCTCCGGGACCCGCGGCACCAGCACCCTCAGTAGCCGAAGAACCTCTAGCACCAGCAGCACGCCTCCAGCGCTGGGCAAACCACTCGCGCAGCTCCTATGGAGAGAGTGGCTCCCGCCGAGACGAAGCACCCGGAGAACCTCCAGGCTCAGCACCGCCAGACGCCACACAAGCAGGCCCAGCTCCCTCAGGCTCTGCACCCCCAGGCTCAGCACCTCCACGCGTAGCACCCCCAGGCTCAGCACCCCCAGGCTCAGCACCCCCAGGCTCAGCACCCCCAGTAGTAGCACCTCCAGGCTCAGTACCCCCAGGCTCAGCACCCCCAGTAGTAGCACCCTCAGGCTCAGCACCCCCAGCAGCACCAGAGTCACCAGTAACCTCGACAGGCTCGACTGCGTCTACCTGGGACACACCTGAAGGGGCAGGACCCTGAGGGGGGAGGGGGTCTACCGGGGGGGGACCTGGCACAAGGAAGAGCGGTAGGGGAAGAGGCGGTAGTAGGGGACCGACTCGTCAAACGTGACGTCCTGGGAGGACAGAACACGGCGAGAGGTGGGGTGGTAGAACTGCCACCCTGGCGCGTCAGGGGGGAAGCCAAGGAAGACGCAAGGAGCAGCACGAGGGGACAGCTTGTCCGCAGACAAGTCGCGGACAAACGCCCGAGATTCCCAGACACGGAACGCAGACGCATCGCCAACCTTCCCCGTCCACAGCAAAGCTGGGGAGGTCTCCGGCCTGGAGACCCTAGGGTGAAGGTTGATCTGATGCGCCGCGTACCGAACCGCAAACGGCCACAGAAAATGGGGGGCAGCCGCATGCATCATGGACGTACGGGCGACGTCCATGACCATGCCAATGCGGCGCTCAGCAATCCCATTTTGCTGTGGAGAGTCCGGAAGCGTGAAGGTCTGGCGGATGCCTCGCGCACGACAGTAGGCTCGCAGAAGGCCAGAGGAGAACTCTCCACCTCTGTCAGAGTGCAGACGCAGAACAGGAAAGTCCGAGCCGAAGCTCTGCCTGAGCTGGAGACGAGCTGCGCGGATCCAGTCGATCAACACCTCAGTGACATCACCCTTGCTGCGCAAGGGGAAGACTGTGGTGTAACGCGAGTAGTCGTCAACCACCAGCAGGAAGTAGCGCTCGTGACCCTGTCCACGGACGCGGGCCGGGCCCCACACGTCCATGTGAAGCGTCTGCAGCGGGGCCTCTGTCGGAGGAAACTG